CTTTTGTGTTTTCTTATTTTCTATTAAACCAAACTGAAAATCCAGCATTATTAGCATGGCGGCACAGGACACGTTTTGTGTTGCTAATAAAAATGGCTTATTTCTCTGGATTTGAACACACATTTGGGATTATGTGAAACAACAAAATATATAACACTTCTTTAATTTTTTTGGGGATTATTTCATGAAAAAATCTTGCAATAAATAACCAGTTGGCCAAAATTGCAGACAATAGGTTCCACACTTAATTAGCTTTTTCAAAAAAGCAGATTGCAAAATGTTTACAATCAAGATTAAAATGCAATTGTGCAGAAATATAATCACACTTTTCTAGACGTGTTTGACACTCACGGAAAGAGGGCGTCCAGTACACGTTGTCCAGTCAGTAGGGGGTGGTTGGCAGGGAGCTTCTCAGTAACAGGCCTCACTTGTCGCACAGGCCACACCTGCACCATGGTGAACTTCTCCTTCACTCCTTCAAACTCCAGCTCCAGCACCACATCCTGACACACACGCATAATGAAAAGGGAACTTTCAGTATTTCACAAGACTGGGGTTTTTCCTCATCTTGCTCAAACATCTTAAGTAGTTTTTTTTTACATTTAACGATTGCCTTAGTAAGGTGTTATATGCAAATACATCTGACCTGGCATGAAGAGTTCTCCTGACTATATATACGTGTAGTAATATTAAAAGACATGTGAGGATGAATTTAAGTGTGACTCACAGAGACATCATAATTTCCTGGCGGAGCGACATATGTGACTGTTCCTCTGCTGCGGGGTGGTAGCATGAGCTTGTGTTTGATGAGAGAGTTCTCATTCACCAGTCCATAGATATCACCTCCTGTAACATGGCTTCCAACCTAAAAAACAGTGTTGTAAACCATTTTAAATATGGAGAGCTTAATTTCAATGTATTATACATTCTACCTTCTGTATTTAAAATACTCATGCACATTCAAATTCCACTTAAATTACATGTAGTCATTAATAGTTACATTTAAAAATTTACAAATTACATTTAGTTACTTTTTAAAGATGTTCTCTAAGTGCTCAAGAAAGAGAAAAGGGGGATTATTGTACACAGAATATCAATTGTAGCTTTTTGGGGATATTTTGCTGTTTTGTAACCAAACTATGTTATTTGGCCTAAATGACTGATGCCAAAACAATAAGTTACTCCATGCAGGTAGCAAAAAAATTAGTTATATATGAACACAACCAATAATATATCCAAACAGAGAGATATGGTGCATTCTACACTTGCAATGATCAGTGCTAATGCTTTAAATTCATTTAAGCATTGGAAAACACAGATTATTATGGGGATAGTTAAACAACATTTATTATTTTTGTTTGGCTGGATTGTAGCCACTGTCTTAGATTTTCCGAATCACGAAGAAAATAGTTAATGTTCTTCTTATGTTAAGAGTAACATGTATCTTGGATGACCTGAGGGTTAGTCGATTTACAGTTTTTCTGCAGGTTTCACTAAGCCAAATTTAAGACTTTTTAAAACCGCTATGAATGAAATTTCAGATTTAAACAGGACAAAAAGCCATTTTGTAATGGCCGATGCAAAAAGATTTTAACTTGCCACATTCCAATTTAGATTCAGTTATTTCTTATCCATATATTTTAAATAAGGAGTCAAAATCAGCAAATTATAGATAATAATAATAATTTTGTTCATGATAACTTTTCTTTAAAAAAGTTTTAAAAACTTCAACAAAATAAATGTATGCACAACATACATTTATGCATAAATACATGGACGAATACATTTTAATTATATTTTAAACTAATGTTATTGTAAGAATGTAATGAAGATGATTCTCTGGTAATCCATTAGGTCAGAAGCGGGTGCTACCCTTTGTATGTTTTTTTCCAGTGAGTGCAGTTTAGTAAGAGGTGTTTGACCCGAAGATGGTTTTTTTTTTTGTTTTTTTTTCAGCTTTCTCTTTAGTTATTTAGAGACGGAGATGATTTAGTTAGGGGTTTTTAATTTGTTATTTTCTTTGATTTGGCACAGCTTATTTTCCTTCCCTTTATCAGGTTTGTTTTAATTGATTTGACTTATTTTGCTTTTTTTGTACAAATTTGTAAATGAATTTTGGGTGAAAGCGAACTACTTTTTGCTACATCCGTTGTCTGTCTCGATCCATAGCAGCTAATTTCTCAGGGGAATTTTTTAAATATTGGGTTGTCATAATGTTTTGCCCTTTTCATCCTTCGAGACATCCTCCGTAATGCCATATTAGTAAATAGAATTAATAAAATTTACTTTTTTAAAATGCTTTTTTGAGATGGATTGATGGTTGTACCGATGGTGTAGCTTTACATGGACAAAGGAAAATTAAGACCGGTTTAAAAGTATTTAAGACCATATTTCAGACGTTAAGACTTTTAAAGACCATGTGGACACCATGAATTAACAATAAATTGTACTTTTTGGCTGAACAATTCCTTTATTATTTCAGAATAGCTGCAGTTTTGATTGGTTCATTAAATAAATAAATATCTAGGGCTCACAAAATCTCGTAGCCCAAAGTCCTGGGGTTATTGTTTTTTCAGTCAGGCTACAAAAATCTATCTACACCTTGCTCGATGGGCCATCTAGATAGATCGCTGTGCGAGGTGTAGATAGATTTTGGTACGCCGGCAGAAAAAAACAACAGCTTCGGTACTTCGAGCTGCCAGATTTTTGTGAGCCCTGATACTTATGACATGAGTATTTGATCCCAGCTACCAAGCATATACTAACTATCATAACTCACATGGTCTTGGAAAAAAAGACAGAAATGTCCAAAAAAATAAATAAACTAAGTGCACAACACCTCTATATAAAGAAACACACACTTCATTACCCTCAAGTTATTAATAGGTGTGAAGTCCCATTTAAGGTCCCGGTTGAGAGCCCCTATATTAACACCTCTGGGGATGTAGATGCTCTGCGTGAGGTCATTGATGTCTTTGAGGGGGCGCTGAATACCGTCAAAGATAGAGCCCATAATTCCAGGTCCCAGCTCTACAGAGAGGGGCTTTCCTGTGCGGAGCACTGGATCTCCCACACAAACTCCAGCTGTGTTACTTTGGTTCAGGAAAACAAACAATGCAAAGTAGACAAACACACACAAAACCAATTCTGCAACAGCATTATAATCCTGTAACAGTGTGAGATAATAATACCATGGTAATACGCCTTATATTACTGTGAATGATACTACTGAACACTATGTGACATGTTGACAATGGGTTTATTTATTTTGCCAACAATATTATTTTGACAACAAAAGAATATGATTTGATGTGCGGGAGCAAGTTTACAGCAAGTTTGTTTATTGTTCAACACCATGGCGGAACCCATACCTGGGTTATTGAGACTTAAAACAGGATCTAAATGATAAATACCTGTTGTTTTTTTTCTCCTCTAATTATGCAAACATTTTATTTGGATTTACTATATTTAAAACTTTTAGGGGGTTCTCAGTGTAAACAAATCCCAGATTAATAGTAAAGGATACAAGTCTCCTCATACACCTGGATGGTTGCCATATCTCCTTCCAATCGGATAATCTCTCCCACCAGCTCACTGTGGCCGACACGAACCAGTTCATACATAGCTGCACCTGCCATGCTGGAGGCCGTCACCACTGTATTGAATAGAGACATAGACTGTAACCTGCCCATCACATGACTTCTCTTTTTTACAGTAGATGACTGAATTACTTGTGAGATAAACACCGAGCAGTAAGCTAATCTGTAACAAACTGACTTCATATATTTGGCAGTGGTGAATGTTTATTTTATTGTATTTTATTTTTTTTTACCGGGGCCTGAGACTCCATGAACATATCCAAACTGACTCTCGCGTTCCTCATCTCGGATCTTAGGCAGCTTGGAAAAATCCATCTTGTGTGTTAGAAAACCTAAATGACAGATTCAAGACACAGATGTGGTAAAAAAAGATAAATATCTTTAAGTATTTCAAAAATAAAAACAACATGACAAGATTCATTTTATAATTTCAACAGAAACACAATCTAAACATGTTTTGTTCAACTGTAAAGAAATATATTTGAAGGGAATTTAAAGTAAATATCTCAATTACCACTGACAAGTAGCCTATAACGACAACCCAGAAAAACAGTTAATAAACAGCAGAGCCACTATGGCCGACCGGGTTCGGATTAACACTAGATTCTTGCTGTAACGACTGAATATCAAATTTAAAATGTTAGGAATTTAGATAACTGTACTAAACGCACAACCGCTATTAACTATTGAATGAGAAAATCTAGCAGACTGTCGTGAGGAACCATGAATGTCAGGTGACAGATGGCTGCTAGCAAAGCCTCTGATCAGCAAATGAGCACAATTCGCCTGCGTAGAAAATGAGATGGGAGCAAACCGAAAGAGATGACAATAAACAAAATAAGAGTAACAAATAATGAAAAGATTGATCTTACTGTACTAGCATGAAGCGAACACCAATCCGTGGAATACCCTACCAAGCAGTAGATCGAGGAAAAAAACTGTCACGACATAGATCAGCTGACTTGCCAGGATTAAGGAAGTTCGTTTACACACTGCAACGGAAAGTGCGCCATTATGGCTCTCCTAGAGGATGTTTTCGTGGAAAGACATTGCGCGTGTGATCCAAAATGGCGTCCATAAAGCCACAGTTTCCTTATTTCCTGTGCTCTTCGCGTGAAAGCAAGGACGTAACCAAGTTACCGAACATCATATCTGGACATTAACACAACATGGGCACAAGCATTTCACCACTGTAGAGAATCACATACGAATGAAGCAGTGCGTTTAGCAGTTTGGCAGTTCTTTTTTCCAGATCTTATGCATATTCATTACGCTATTATCAATATACATTACGCAAAAAGTCTGGCGCTCTTTGCGTGGTTGCGTCACAGGGTGATTCCTGTTGAGACCGCGCGTAACCCAGACGTTCAAGACTTTGTTGAATGCAGTTGCAAAAAGCTCGTTCCTGTTTTTTTCAACATTTGGAATTTAATACTCGATTTAGTGTCTTTGCCGTGTTTTCTTTGCGTTCGTGGATGCAGTCAACGTGTCATCGCTCTTGGAAATCTAAAGCCACCAGCTTAAAATCGTTTGTAATCATCGAGGACCGAAGATAAGTCACCACCACCATCATCATCATCATCGTCGTCGACGTCCATAATTGAAATCTCTGCGAAATAATACACCGTTCGGTTTATTTTTTGGCTGAATCTCCATATTATCGTCGAAATATAGTCTCCTTTGCTTGGTTTTCACCGTTGGACGAGACGACCCCGCTGAGCATATGGCAAATCACCCTTCGGTACTGCAGTAACGTTAACGTAACTTTATTTTTCGCTCGTTGAATTCAAAAACAACTGAAGTTACATCCTTTTTCCCCAACTGAAAGACATTTTGCCTACTAAAGTGACACTGTAAGGTCATTACCAAGAGCCAACACTAAGAAGAGCCCAACTTTGTGGTACCACCCCACCATGTTGGGCATTATGGATCATCATCAAGGTAAATGCTTTGATTGTTGTCATATTCATCAATCTAGTTTTGTTTCATTGGAGCCTATCACGTTAATAATTAAAGTTTTACACAAGCCTCGTGTAACACACCTATTTAACAAAGAGCTTCTGAATGGATTAACTACTCCTGCTTGCAGCGACATATCCTCTTAGGTTAAGTATAAGTTACTTGGCAAGACTTCTGTACTATCTCCAGATACATAACATGTAATTTTGTAAGCATATTTGAAATGCTCGGACACTAATTCGCCTCCTTGTTTTGCTGACTAGACGAGGATTCATCTGCTCTTCGTTAGCTTTTAGCATAAGCAGCTTCTCTTCGGATATTTCTATGTTTACTCGAACAAATGAGCCCTCGGTACATTTTCGACAATATTTAATGTTTCAAACGCGATTGCATTAATGTCGCCTACCAATAATCTCCTGCGAAAATGATACGCAAGTTACTTTAACAGTTCCCATGTAGCATAGGCTAAAGCTAGCTTGACAGTTGATCTAACGCGGTAGTTACACATTATCAATGTATCGCCATTAATGTAACATGTCTTCTGTTTCTTTTACAGACACCGTCCGGAAATGTAAATCGGAGGCTTTGGTGAGTGCTGTCGCTGTTATTTTTTTGTAATAGTTTGAAATGGTGACACAGCCTCGTTACTTATTTATAGCTTAGGCCACATGTGGCCGAACATGGGGGAAGGGCTGTGAATAAGAGCAGTATCTGCCTGTATGCACTGATAGTAATTGGCTAACGTTAAATATTTTGGTTTCGAAAAGGGGTCGGGCTGATGTCATGGCATTATTATTTATGTTTAAACGTGCCATTAGTTACTGCTGATCACTATTAATCTAGATTTTTTTTCTATTCCAGCCTCCAGAACGTAGGAAGAGGACTGTAGAGGATTTCAATAAGTTTTGCAGTTTTGTCCTGACCTATGCTGGGTACATTCCACCCCAAAAAGAGGTGAGATGAGCATCATAATATATCACTGATTTAAATGATTGTTGTTAAGTTTTTGTGATTGCTGGATGTGATACAAACATAAGCATTGTTTTTAGTATGGGAACTATAAAATGAAATTGCCAATACTGTTATAAGAGTTGTCATATACATTTATACATGTAATGTTTGCATTGAGACACAACATTTATTTATTTTTGCCATGATGGCAGTAAATAATATTTTACTAGATATTTTTCAAGACACTTCTATACAGATTTAAGTGACATTTAAAAGCTTAACCAAGTTAATTAGGTTGACTAGGCATGTTAGGGTAATTAGGCAAATCATTGAATTATGATAGTTAGGTCTGTAGACTATCGAGTAATATATAGCTTAAAGGGGCTAATAATTTTTACCTTAAAATGGCTTTGAAAAAAATAAAAACTGCTTTTATTCTAGCCAAAATACAACAAATATAACTTTATCCAGAAGAAAAAATATTATCTGACATACTGTGAAAATTTCCTTGCTCTGTTAAACATAATTTGAGAAATATTTTATCAAACGGAGAGTCTCAAAACACTTATAAATTACTTTCTTTCACCTTTCCTTCACATCTGCAGCTGAAGTCTAAAGAGCAGAAGGCATTGCTAATTCACAAACATCACTTTAGTGATAGAATTTGAATAATTCTCTAGCGTAATGTCTAAAGTGAAGACAAAATAGGTGATTTTGCTGACATTTCAAGATTATAAGACTGAACGGCATGAAATGCCATCAATCTACAGAGATTTCCCAGTATTTCTCAATTGCAAATTAAGAGATCACAATAATGAATCCTGAAAAAGCCAAAGTGGCGCCAACACTATCAGATTACTGTTGTGTTTATGATTAGGAAAAACGGTAAACGCATGCGGGCGTTTCTTCTTTCTTTCTTTTTACTGAACTAGTCTGCAGTAACAAAAAGAGCATTAGAACCCATTAGAAACAAACAGTTGGCCAAGCAAAAAAAGTAACTCGGGGTTATACAAAGAGTGGTCAACACAAAATGCACACATTCTTGATATGCGAGTCCCATCTCGCACTCAACACACTACAATTACTATGTTAACAATACAGCACTACAACATACAAAAGAGAGAGATCGACTCCAGAAATTCACTTACTGATTCAGTAATGATTTGATCAGCTGTAGTTAGAAATTGCAATGTTTTTCCTCCTTATTATGCGATCTCTGTCGCTATCTTGTGGAAGGAAAACATCAACTGTCTTTGCTCTGCTCAGTGACAGGCTAATGGCCATCGACGCGCTCTCAGAAATTGTAAATATTTTAAAATAGGCACTATTCTTATAAACAAACTGCATAGTTTCAATCTGAACAACTACATTCTCCACTAAAAAAAGCCTCAATTATATTGTTCTCCAAAACTGCAGTACTTGTCAAACTGTAGTGTTCTCTGCTTGTCGCTGTATGTGGGCGGAGTAATACACAAGGGTGAAGAGGCTGTACAAGTGCTGTTATTTACAGAATATCACACGGCTATCAGCCAGATTTAAGAAACAGACAGGTGTTTGTGTGTGTGTGTGAGATTAATAAGAGTTGTTGATCAGATCAATACGAGCAATACCAGTGTTAAGGATGTGACATTTGCAGTAAAAACTCAAAACATAAATTCGCATAGAAAGCATATGCTAACATTATATTGAAACTTTTATTTATATTTTTCTGAACAACTCACCACAGAGTTAAGGGACCAGAAAAATATCTATCTGTAAACATGTTTTGTACTTTAAATGTGGAAAATAAACATACTTTATGGATGTGACAGAAAAAAGTCTGCAGGTTTACAGTACACAACATACTTTGTAGAAATTATGTGAATTAAACTGCACAACCCAAAGGTAACAATGATAATTAAAAGGATAAGAGATGGCTCTCTATAAAACAAAAAATATTGATTTTATTTAATATTTTCACGTTTATGAGGAAAAAAAAGTGTTATGGATGTGACATTTCTCCGTTATGGATGTGACAGATGTGAAATTGCCACTTGTGTGACTTTGGTAAATCAAATAGAATGGTTTGGAAACATTAACAGATGCATTTTTAAGTATTTCTAAAGTACTGTAAAATACAGGCTTTCACAAAAAAAAAAACAGAAATGGTTTCTGTATTTTGGTGAAAACGTAATTTTTTTCATGGCAAGGTTGATATTTGCACGAAACTGCTCATACGCATTCATTTGGAAAAAAAATTCTGAAGCATTTTAAAAAGCAAAACCACATGCATTATTCATGAAAATCTCATTATTAGGGTTCTGTTTTGTGGTTAAATTGTCTTAATGTGTGTTTCCAGGAGAGTTCATGGTCTCCGTCTTCATCTCCATGCACACATGACCTTTCTGAGCTCTCTGGTGAAGGCTCTGTGAAAGACAGCTGGACAGACTCTCACTCCGACCTCAACAACATACACAACTTGGTCTATAAAGCCGAAACGGACAGCAGCAGCAGCAGAGAGTTCAGCCATCTTCCGTCGGACAACTCTTTAGACAAGATGACCCTCAAAGACTCTCTGAACCATGTCCATAGTAAAGCTGAGAGGAAGAAAGTGAAGAAACTCGACCGCTTGTCTTTAGGAGGGCCGAGAAAAAGCATCTCGGAGGCAAGAGCACACAAACAATCAAAAGCAGCACTAAAGAAAATAAAGACCTCCATAAAGGCTGAGAGACACTTCACATCTTCAAGCCCTTTGAACGAGGGGTTTGAAAAGGAGGAGCTAACTGAGCAGGCCATTCACATGCATGAGGCAGGGCTTAAACTGGAGTCCAATCAAGAAACAGACCTGAGCTCCTGTGAAACGGACACACTGGTGACCGATGAGGACATTATGGTGGAATCTGGTAAGTGTCTGATTCCAATCAGTGTGCTAATAGTTAAAATATCTAATGTAGACCTTCAATGGTTATAAATACACGTCGTAAAAGTTATGCCAATAAATTTTTTTTTATTTATTTTTTTTTTTTTGTGCTGCATCTGATCATAACCTTTATTTTTTTTGTCTACTTGCAGGAGACGATTCATGGGATTTGATTACATGTTATTGTGGAAAGCCTTTTGCCGGACGTCCCATGATAGAATGTGAAGAGTGCTCCATATGGGTCCATCTTTCCTGCGCTAAAATTAAGAAGTCCAACGTGCCAGACATTTTCTACTGCTACAGGTGTCTGGACTCTCGGGGCTCCACGGTCAAAAGAGACCACTGAGAAACAGTGTATGGGAGCAGATCCTGCGTGTGTATTTAAATGAATGTTCTCATACCTGTCATTTTTACTTATCTGATTACTAGTAATTAAGTAGCTTCTGTTAAATTAAAGGAAAAGTTGATTTATATAACTCCATCTGTTCTCCTTTGTTCCATGTTGACAGACTGTCATGGTTTCTGCCATTCAGCGTTTTAAGGTGTCCTAAAAATGCACTTATTTGCACTACTGTATGCATAGTGCATTTCTGATGTACACAAATTAACTTTAATATTGATGAGAAATGTGTATTGACGGCATATTATGTGCATTAATGAATGAATGAATGAATGTCATGATCCTCTGGTAGCCCAAAACAATTTGAAGCTAAATAAAACATAACTCTTTCCCCACATATACAGTTAAAGTCAGAATTATTAGCCCCCTTGAATTATTAGACGGCTTGTTTTTTTCCCCAATTTCTGTTAAACGCAGAGAGGATTTTTTTCAACACGTCTAAACATAATAATTTTAATAACTCATTTCTAATAACTGATTTAGATATTTTTCAGGACACTAGTATTCAGCTTAAAGTGACATTTAAAGGCTTAACTAGGTTAATTAGGTTTATTAGGCAGGTTAGGGTAATTAGGCGAGTGATTGTATAATGGTGGTTTGTTCTGTAGATTAACAAATCATAATAATTTATGCTAATAAGCTAATAATTTTGACACTAAAATGTTTTTTAAAAATTAAAAACTGCTTTTATTCTAGACTAATTAAAACAAAAAAAAAGACTTTCTCCAGAAGACAAAATATTATTAGACATACTGTGAAAATTTCCCTGCTCTGTTAAACATCATTTGGAAAATATTGAAAAAATGAAGGGGGCTAATAATTCTGACTTCAACTGTATATATAAAAAGGAGAATTAAGCATATGATAGGATCATGATTTTATTTTGCATTGTTTTTATGATATTTCCCCACAAGTTTTCAGAATTATCATTGTTTATCCAGATTACCCATTGAGCCAAGTCCACTTTATGTGCTGAGGCGGTGTTGTAATCCAGTGTTTGTCAGTGTCGGCCCCTCAGCACAGGTGTCACACTTGACACATCTTATACTGTTAATAAAGCCCCATAGGAAAAGTCTAATGAGCGCAATTAGGAGTGTTAGATGAGGTTGAACCGTAAGCACAGATCTGTATGATGCGGACACGGTTTAAATCTAAGTTTCTCCGAAGTAATGTTCTGCGTAACGCTTTTCAGTCATGTGATAAATACTCACTTTAATGTTCCCAAATTAACCTTTGACCACTGTAAAACAGATTTCAACATAATTAGACCACATTCAACACTTCTATAGCTTGATTGTAGTTCTTTGTGTATTACGTTACAGTTAAGTTGCAAGGACATGGCTTTTATGTATGAATTTGGGTTGCCATTTTTGACCATCATAAAATTAAAAGAAATCATTTGTCTTTTGTCTTGTTTATCCCAGTGTATATAGTACATGTATGTACAGCTGTATATGTTTGAAAGATGAGGAGATGCTATATTTTTCTGAGCATTACATTAGTAAATTCTGAAAATAAATGTCCTTTAAAGTCAATCTGGCCAATTCGCAGTGTTTTGTTTGCTGATGTCACTAGTTTTCCAGTGAGCAATGTCCAAAGGGAGTGTAGTCTAAGGGGTGTGGCGACTTCTGTTCACATTACTCCCCTTCCTCCAGTCACATGCTTCAGTGCAGGTGCATCACTCTAAAGCTCGCCTGTTGTGATTGCTGTTATTTGTAATCATCAGCTACTTAACGTGAGGTAAGTGCGTTTACAATTTAAAACTTAAATTTGGTTTTACTGTGGTAAACATCTTTTTTTTCAGTATGTGATTTTTTCATTGTTTAATTTACATAATGGTTCACAGCTGCAAAATTTGCAAGTTAATGCAAATTTTGTAAAGCAATTTTTTCCATGTTTATGGTAGTATGTTGAACAGTCTGTGCTTGAAGGTAATTACATGGTCTCAAATGAAAAGCTTATGAAAGGGAAAATGTTGCTCTATATGATGGAAGCAATTAAATCTAATTTCCTGACATTTTACATCAGGTTTAGAAGTACCGTGAGTTTGTTTTACATGTGAGGACAATTACATTATTGTTTACCCATAGAACCCATTTTCTTTAACATGGAGCAGCCTTATTTAAGCCCAGCAGCTGTCCCACCAGGTTTGGAGTACCTTACACAGGTCAGATTGTCATTTAGAAGTAATTAATTTAAATTGGATGAAAACTACAGTAAAATGTATTTCATGATGGATAAATGTATGTATAAATGCTTACAGATTGACCAGATATTAGTCCATCAAAAGATTGAACTTCTTGAAGGTACGGTTTTGTTTTTAATCATAATTTAGCTGGGTGTTATGAAGCAAAGTCTATAATTTAATTTATAAGCATTTGTGAGTGTAAATGCATCATAAGTTTTGTGAATCTTTAAATTTGTGTCTGGAAAACAGTGATCTTCGGCATATTGAATATCAAATATTTTGTATACATTAGTTGATTATGGATTCGTTGAGTAGAAACTACAGCTATTATTTATGTAAAAAGACAAAATTACACCCTTGGAGAAAGATGATCATGTTTTAGAATTGGCACATATACAGTGCTCAGCATAACTAAGTACAATCCATTTTGAAAATGAATATTTTTATCCATTTCTCAGTGAATATAGGCAATGTATTTTGGTGCATTTAAACAAAACAGATATTTATTAAAATAATAATTTAATCACCAAACATTTTTAGAAATTGAAAGATAATACAATTAACTTCAAGCAAAATGTTGCAAAATAAATTGCAACTATAAAATTTCAACTAAATCTATATTTTTTTGCTTCTTGATTTTTCCTCTTTTTTTAAAAGTTTTTATTTAAATTTTTTTTTTGACAAACTTGAGTGTACTAGTTTTTGAATCGTTATCATAAATTATTTTTCTTAAATAAGCTCCAGGTTTGGCTTCAGTACTGACCAATCTAATGAATATGCTCAAATATAATATTGAATGGCTTCTTATTAAAAATATGAATTTAAAAGAGATTTGTGAGGGGTGTACTTGTATATGCTGAGCGTTGTATGTGTAAGTGTAACTAAAGTGTTGCAGTTTTTATAATACGTAACAGATTGTATTTAATTAGCTTATTCAGGTTAATCATTAGTTAGATACGTGTAATTTTAATGGCATTGATAGTGTTGCTCTTATGACATATCTATGATTAAAATATGGGCAATAATAAGTCCATATTCATGTGCCTTTACATAAGTCATAGATTAAATTTACCTTTCGCATACAATTATGTGCTTTACATAGTGATTTTAAACTGTCTGTTTGTGGGAACCAGATCTCGGTGCAAAATTAATGCAGTTCTTAATAGAAATAAGCTTTGAGGGATTGCATATGGTTGTCAAAAAAATGCAATGAAATATGCATATTATAATAGAAACTAACTATGTTGACTTTTTGACCACTCTATAAAGCCAACTCAAGCAAATCTCAAACGCGTTCAGTGGGGTTCAGATCAGCTGATGCTCAATTTATAGGAAAATATCAGGATTTTGAGCCAGTGAATCTTTGCATTGTCAATCTGGAATATATCTCTGTCTTGGGCACTCTTTGTTTTACTAAAAAAACAATTCTCTTCTTTTCCAGCCATTATTGGCTTTGAAACAAATAACCAATATGAAATTAAGAACAGCATGGGCCAGAAGATCTTCCACGCTAAAGAAAACACTGACTGCTGCACTCGAAATATCTGCGGCCCTCTCAGGAGTTTTGAAATCGAGATCAGAGATAATTTTGAGCAGGAAGTGATTCACCTGAGCAGGCCTTACCGCTGCACGTCCTGCTGTTTCCCCTGCTGTCTTCAAGAGGTAACAACTCATCGTGAAACTTGCTGTTTTCTGGCCTTTGGAGAGACAAAATATTTTAACAAGATATTTGTGACCATGCACCACAAAACCAGCCATAAGACTAAGTGTTTGGAAAATGAGATGTATAACTCGTGAAAGTCAAATAAATAAGCTTTTCATTGATGTATGCTTTGTTAGTATTGGACAATAGCTAAGATACAACTAGCCGCTTAAAATCTGGAATGTGAAGGTTAAGAAATATTGAGAAAATCGCTATAAAAACTACAAATTCCATTTCTTTTAATGCATATTACTAATACATAATTACGTTTTCATGCATTTACAGAAGGTAATATCATTACTGAAGGGAATTTACTAAATATATCCAGGAAACATCTATAAAATAAAAATATAATAATTATAATTTATATATTATAAAATTATAACATTTTGACTTAACTGATTCGGTCTAATTTTGGCTATTGCCACAAATATAAACCATTTCAATGTGGTCATGTCACTGGCTCATGAACATTTCCTGCTTGTTATTAAACTATTTCATAACTAACAAGGCAATTCAATTATAACTTAATGTTAAAGCAGTCATCACACATCATCAATATGTGGCTCTTTTTGGATTCTCAGAAGCTTTAGAAATGTTTTTGTTTACATATATCAAAATGGTCTATACCTCGGACAACATAAAACATGGTTTTGTGATCCGTTTTGAAATATTTGAAGATTAAAAGATTTGCGGTAAATACTCTAAACAGTAAACGTATTAATATAACCCTGATTCCTTTTTCTGTCTGGATATTGACAAAAGTTGGAGGTACAGGCGCCACCGGGGAATCCGATTGGCTATATCAAGCAAGACTGGCACATGTTCAAGCCCATGTTCTCGCTGTATGACATGTCCAAAACAAAGATGTTGACCATCGAGGGGCCGCTGTGTGCCGTCAGCTGCTGTGGTGATGTGGATTTTGATGTATGTATTCATGTGTGATCATGTCTGATTATCATCTTGCTTTTAACTCATTCTATGATGCTTGGTCTTTTTATTATTTTGAAACTTTTTATATCGGATTTTGAAAACTTTTTTTTTTTAAACCGATGAAATAAAAGGGGAAACAATAATTAAACAATACGGAAATAATAATAAAATAACATTTTGCCATTATAACATATTTTCAGAAGAAACATCATTTGCACATCAAATTACACAAACAAGTTACATTGATAAGTTAAAAAAAACTCTTAAGTGTAAACATCTAAATATCTTACGATACTTTTCCACCTCTTAAAAAAATATATCAGTTTTTAATTGTAGACATGCAATCATTATATAGACCTGTTTCATTTTTGGAACCAACGAGCTACCTTTGGAGAACCTTCTTCCTTCCTGTGTACTGTTATCAGGTTTTCGTTTGTTTGTTTTTTGCTATTAATAACAATATTCTTAATATAAACGTTTTTATACATGAGACATTAATTTTTGCAATTCTCCTGATAAGCTCACAACTAAATCTAAGGAAATTTCTATATCTAATATATATATATATATATATATATATATTTTTTTTTTTTTTTTTTTAATACTTGGTCTTTTTAAATTATTTATTAATATTAAAGATTTGTTATTTATATTTTAATTTCTGCTCTCCTACCTTGAGCCATTTGCACAGCAATCAACTATTTCTATTTATTTATTTTTGCTTTACATGTAAATAAATTAAATGAAATATTTCTAGTTGTGTCTGTTGGATGATGATTTTGTCACAAATAAAATGTTCTGTGTTTAATACAGGTATTGGGTAAAGACGGGAATCCTGTTGGTCGAATCAGTAAACAGTGGGCCGGCCTGATCAAAGAGTCGCTCACTGACTCCGATAATTTTGGCATCAACTTTCCCATAGACTTGGATGTGAAGATGAAAGCAGTTCTGCTGGGAGCGTGTTTCCTTATAGTAAGATACCACACAGTCATTCATTTCCCAATCTATTTGGCTATTCATGTATTTAATGCCCTGTGTCCTGCAGGACTTCATGTTCTTCGAGCAGACTGGGGACTCTGGACAGAGATGCAGTGTGTTTGGCTAATAACAAGAGGGTTACTGATCATATTTGTCTGAAATATATTCAACTGTAGTATGACTATGGTAAACACTTCTATGTATGTATGTACCACTAATTTTAGCAATAGTAAAATTTTTATTAAGTAAACTTTTTAAATATTTTTCTTTTAAAAATATCAAATAAACCATTTTCATACTTCATTCTCATTGCTCTTGGAAATCTTTGTTTATAAGCACACCTCTGAAACATGTCATGAATCCCCAATTTTATGACAACTGACTTCACATTATTAAAATATTGATTGCTTTCAATAGAAATATGTTGTCTTTAACAGCCTGATATTTGTCTTATTGTTCTTATCATGTTTTCTCAATTACAATCATTTCATTTTAAAAGGGACATGTAGTTTATTATTGCTGATTGTAAATTATTATTAGTTTGTCATAGTTCATAACTAGGGCTGTGTGATTTGGGGAAAATAATTGCAATTTTTTTGACAGATATTGTGATTGTAATTTGATTTGCGATTTAATTTTGTAGTCCAGATTCAGCTCAATAATCTGTATCGTAGCTTCTCGCTGCTAAAATGCAGTGAGTGTAGGTTAAAAAAGCAACTAAAAAGATATTAACTTAGTTCTACATTTATTCAAATGTGCTTTTAAATATTCAGAAATTTTACTTTCTCTAGAGCACATGAAAGGACCTTACCTTTCTGTTAAGTCAAATTAGGGAGACAATGTAGGTTATTATACAAACAAAACAAAATCATAAAAATGCAGAACACTCAAAGCAAACTAACATGGCTGATACGAGGCAGATTAAAAAGATTTGATTGGGAGGAATATAAGTGTGCTCACTGAATTGGCTAGTAAGACTATCACACAGACAGCAGTCACGCATTTGCTCTGGGCAGTGTAAATTAAATACATATATATTCCATATCACTGCCACTTGCAATTAGCTAATCGCAACGTTTCAAATCGCGATTACGATTCAATTTCAAATTATTGCAGAGCCCTAAGAACTACAGTGCATTAGTAGTTACTGTCAAAAATAGCGGTACTGGAATTGCAAATTGAGAGTTGCTCCATCCCATTAATAATACATTTTCACAAGCCCCCATAACATGTTTTGGAGGATTCAATTCATTTTCTTTTTGGCCTAATCACTTTATTAATTTGGCGTCGCCACAGCGGAATGACCGCCAACTTATCCAGCATATGTTTTATGCAGCAGATGTTCTTCCAGCTGCAACTTATCACTGGGAAACATCTATACACACTCATTCACACACATACACTACGGTCAATTTAGCTTACCCAATTCACCTATAGTGCATAGGCTTGAACCAGTGACCTTCTTTCTGTGAGGTGATCATGCTACCCACTATGCCACCGGTTTCAATTTTAGATCAATCTTTAGTAGCTACAAAATAAGTACAAAAAAAGCCAACTTGGTAAGCCAAAAGACTGATTATGACTAGTCTAGAATGAAAAAGTCAAATAATTTAATCATCACAATGAAGAAACAGTGTGCTTTGTGTGTCAATATGCATAAAAGTATTACCTTTCTATTAATTCCTTCCAACTACTCTTTAAATGTAAAAACCAGGAGTGCTCAAACTTGGTCCCGGAGGGCCGGTGTCCTGCAAAGTTTAGTTCCAACCCCAACCAGACACACCTGGGCTAGCTAATCAGGCTCTTACTAGGCTATCTAGAAACGCTCTTGCAGGTGTGTAAAGGCAAGTGGGAGCTAAAATCAGCAGGACACGGCCCTCCAGGAACGAGTTTGGACACCCCCGGTAGACCATTCTACATTTTCATTGATCTTTTTTTATTATTTGGCATACACTTTTACCCACAGTGATTTACAATTGAGAACAATACAACAAAAACATGTAAATAATAAGAATTCCTAGTTGCAACACAAATAAAATATTTTTGTGTATATATAGAGAGAGTTTGCGGAAATATGGAAATAGAAATTAAATTGTTTAGGTCAAAAGTACTTTTTATATAAATATTTAACGACAAAAGAATAGAGAGCAGATAAGCGAGTGTTACTGTTAGAATAAGGGCAGAATTTATAGTAGACAATAAAGTAGAGCTAGAGTACATCAAAGGATTCCTTTTTTATTAATGCTTAAAGAACAAAGTACAGAACAATACAAAAAGAAAGAAAAGAAAAGGGTCAGGGGTGTACAAATTCAAAATATAAATAAGTCAAACAATTGTATGTGTAAGTATGCATAATAAGAAAGCGTAAGGGCCTTGTGGGATTAAAGGATCTTGAAGGTTTCAAGTAAAAAAAAATGGTTTTATTGACTTTTCATTAGTGCTTTGCTTTATGTTGTTGGTGTTATGTTCTAATGCTTTTAATATAGCAAGATAAAAAGGTTTTTGGTTATTAAATTTGCTTCTCTGAATATGGTACTTTGTAGATATTATTAAAAGTTTAATAACATAAGCCTCCTTGTCTATTTTTGTTACAGTTCAAAATTCAAAATAACATGCAGAGATTCACGGACATTTGGCAATAAGTCTTTTCTGAATTTGGAAATCTCATACCATATTATCTGACAATTGACCATTCCAACAAATATGCGGCAGAGTTTCTGTCTGTGCAAACAAAATGAACAGTTTTGATCTATGTCCTGTCTAACTTAAACAGAATATGTTTTAAATGAGACCTCTTTAAATTTGTTTGTAATAAAAAAAAATTGTTAGGCAACGACCCAACCTTTTTCCAATTTAAACCTCTGATTAACCCAGACCAATAAGAGATTATGTACACTGTAAAAAAAATGTATTGCATTTTTAAGCTGAATTAATCTTCTTAGTCCATTAAACTTATATTGTATTGTTAGTAGATTCAGAAATCAAAGACATCTAAAGATTTAGATCTTCAAGAAAAATCTGAAAGAAAGGTTTACGCTTACAAAATTTACACTTGCGTGTAAAATATTTGCCCAAAAATATAATAAGATTAAATAAATAAACATCTGGATGTTCATTCTGATGGTTATATCCTAAAATAACATTATCATATTTTAACACAACAGCAGGAATTATACCACTAAATATACCTTATACATTTTCCAATCATGTTTAGTTTACTCACAATTCCAAAAAAGTGAGACATTTAGTTTGGTGATCACAGGAGCAATTTACATCAAAATCCAGAAATATAGCCTACCTTTGTTAAAAACAAAAAAAAAAACCTTTGTAGGATAGCACCTATGAATTAGTTTATAAGACTTCACGGATTTTATTGTACATTAGGAATTTTGTGTATTCTGTTCCTGCCCATCACCAACACCAACGTGACGTCATAGAGACGCGGCGGAAGAAGAGTGTTTTCGCTGTAAAGAAGCGCCAGCTCTCATTGAATGAGCCAAGATTTAAATTAGCCTTTATTTTCTCTTTCATTTTCTGTCCTCGAAAAGCTTAGTTATCCGCTTTTTGCCTTGGCGGACAACGCCTGAGCTTTTGGCGAGAGCATACGGTTAAACGGTGAGTAATCGTTGGTGCCGACACCCCACATTTTCTGCATCGCGACACCGGAGGCCGAGCAGTGTTTATGTGTGATGATCGGTGCTTGATTTGCCCGCTGGAATGATGTGTTATTTGACCAATGCCAGTTGAGCTCAGTTTTATTAAAAAGCCCCCCTTAAAAAGGTACTATATAAATGTAGCCAAATATCAGCCTCTGGTATTTTAGTTACAAAAAACAAAGCGTTTCCCAGTGCAGCCCTTTACCATAATTCAAGTTAAAAGCAGAACAAAGCGCGTCGTGCACGAGTTTATGTCCGCAGCTTCAGCAGTCTCTCTCTCCATCTGTAAGCACTGACATCTGCTTGAGCAAACTACAGATAAATAATGGTTCGTTTTATGTATTGCCGCACTGAAGAATAACGATACAATGTCAGATCGATACAATGTGCTACTCTTTTTCCCCTCATTTGAGACTTCAGTCGCTGCCCAGTTTCCCCATTGGATTTTTAGCCTTTTCATATTCAGAGACCCCCAGTGCTAGTTAGCAAACGTTGATTTCATTACTTTTGAATAACTTTAGATAAAAAAATACTGAACATGGTTGCACATCAGAAAATGCAGAACAGATTATTTAGATATTCATGTGTTAGCAAAGATATATAAATATCCTTTAAAAAGGCCCCTAATATAATATAAAACGATTCTTATATCAATATGAGTTTTTATTTTAATTTAATAAGCCCACAGGAAATAAGTGTGAACTTTAATGCCTCTTGTTACTGGTGTTTTGGTAAGCAATTCATATAGGCCAGTTAATTGTTTGTCTATTCAAGGTTTAGCCAAAATACGAAAATTGATGAAAATTCAGTTTTAGCGAGCAGTTTGTTCATGTTTGGCTGTTTTTAGTTTTGGTTGTTGTTTATTGCACTTTTTGCATTAATTCCAATCAGCAAAAAGCTGTTAAAAAGCTTAAAATGGGCAGATACCAAATTGATTTCAATTTCAGCATTTTAGCTGCTGATACTTCAGTCAATATGCTGATGTAGTTTTTATAATGTTATATTTGTATTATTTTTTTAAATTGTGTATTATCGCAATGTTATAATTTGCAATACTTGTACTATCATTTGCATGAGATTTTGATGCCTGGAATTGTATAATGACTTTAAAAGCAAACTATTTGTGACATTAGCCCCTTTCACACAGTGATACCGGTAAATATCCGGAAAATTTCCGGAACTACTTTACCGGTATATTCAAAAAAGCGATGTTCACACAGGCGAGGACGTTACGGAATTTTTCCGGAAAAGAGCATTCACACATCCAAATTCGCTATGTGAAAAGGGCTAACAGGACAATTTTATTATATTATTTTTATCATTCAGTTACTGTACTTAAGTCACCTCAGAAAATGGTAAACACTTCATTTTTGTTGTATCTTTTTTTTAATTGTATTTATAGATTGTTATGCATGAAAATACTCACAACATGTGCAACTGCAGAAATGCACTGCAAATAGCACAGACCACA